TTTACTGTCATTTCTCCACTTGAATTAAAATGAACATATTTTGATAAATAAATACAGATTTTTATGTCAGTGCCTCAAACAAAATATGAATCTTTTCCCAGAACAAAAGCTTTTTCCTCCTATAATTTAATGTAAAATGGAGGATTTGGGTGTAATCCTGCCTGCAGACCGCATCTCTCCTCAGGCTCCGCGGTCCCGGTGTTGGAGGTTCAGTCCAGGAGATTCAATCCCAGCAAACCCGAGCGGAAGCAGCTTCCCGGGCAGGAAGCTGTCAGCGTGTTGTTGTTGCTACTGGGGACTGTTGTGTTGTGAAAATGGCGACGCCTCGTCGCTCCTCTCAGCAGCAGCAGCAGCAGCAGCAGCCCAGCTCCCTGCTGTCCTCCCCGCCCAGAGGCTCCTCTCTCCCCGCCACCCCGCCTGGCTCTCCGCCGGCACCCACCGACGATGCCGCCTCGCCTCCCCACGTAGCCGCCATGGAGAGCGCGGCTGACGGCGAGGCAGCCCCGGCCTCTCCCACCACCAGCTCCGCCGCCGCCTCCCCAGCTCTGGCCCTGTCCGCCAGCAGCAGCAGCGGCAGCGGGGCTAGCAGCAGCGCTAGCTCCCCGACCACCACCGAGGGCAGCGGGACCAGCCCCGGCTCCACGCCCGACTCGGGCAGCGGTAACCCGGGCAGCAGCAGCGGCAGCAGCAGCGGCGGCGGAGGCAGCGGGGGGGGCGGCGGCGGCGGCGGCGCTAACGGGGCTTTTCGGGAGCTGTTTGAAGCCTGCAGGAACGGGGACGTGTCGCGGGTGAAGAAGCTCGTGGATGCGGTGAACGTGAACGCCAAAGACATGGCTGGACGCAAGTCGACGCCGCTGCACTTCGCTGCAGGTAACGAGCTCGTTTTAAACCCACATCAGAGTGTTTGTGCGGCTTCATGCGGGACAGGGACCGAGCACCGGGGCCTTACCGGGCTGCCATGACAACACATGCACCAGTAAACAGACACACCTACACCTGAGTCCAGGGGTTCAGGCCTGATCTATGTCAGCATGTCATCAGTGTGTCTGTGCTCTAAAGCATCCTGGTTATTAAAGCAGACACCTTTAGATGATTCTACACTTTGTTTTGTACATTAAAATGTCAGGAAGCGTTTTAAGTCTTAATAACAACACGATAACAACACAGGAGGACTTTACTTTGCTCTGACACTGTTTTTGCTGCCCTGCATTGTCAAAGTTACACCAAAAAACCTCAGTGATAATAACCGTTAAGTCCTGATTTATGTGATCACGAGTAAGTTGTAAAGCGACATCTATACCAGGCGCTGTGTGTGGAGACAGGACATCAATTACTGGAGGTAATAAGATGTTCTTTATTAACCCTAAAGGGGCAGTAGTGCAGATTTTTACAGCTCTGTACCACAGTAATGAAGCAAAAGCACACAAGGAAGGCACATAGCAGCCATATGTGTAAAACTATGCATTCAAACATTCACGCCGCCGTAATAACCCTCATACATGTATTTATAAGAGCACCCTGAGGAAAACAGAACTAATGGACAAATACCAGCATCCAGAGGATAACGTGCGGTCAGACACAAGAAGAGTTTGGATTACAGATTGCCATCATGGCCGTTGAGCTTCTCTAATTTAGTTTTTCTGAGATGGAAGCATACAAGAGGCTAGAAGGACACAACAGGGCAACGCAACACATACTTTTATATTGTGGAAAATAATCATGACCAGCTTATGTTGCAGGACTCAAGAAGCTACCCTGCCCCACATGGGGTCGTCTGGCAGTGGTGGAAGATGTGTTTGGACCCTTTGCTTGAGTAGAAGTAGGAATATCAGTCTGATACTGCAATTAAAAGTCCTGCATTTAAAGTCTTACTTAAGGATTTCAAGGATTTTTATTAAGTAAAACCGTCTCAGTATTATCAACAAAATGCATTAGAGGCAGTAAAAGTAGTTGTTCTCCAGAAAAAAGGTACATGTCAGAGTTTTACTATTAGATGGATGGATGGATAGATAGATAGATAGATAGATAGATAGATAGATAGATAGATAGATAGATAGATACTGTCCTGTACATGTTACATTTAGGAACAAAAACAGAAAACAAACGTGCAAATCATGCTGGTAGAAAGAAATAAGGTGCAGAATCATGCAGGTATTTCCAATAAGAAGAATGTGACAAGTGTAGGTACGGTATAAAAGCAGACATACTAATAAGTGCTTGGGTCCTGGTGGTCCAGAGATATTGTGTTTTTATGCACAGCTGAATAAAACCCAATAACCCCGGATATTACTGCTGCCTTAAGGTCATTAATGTGCATTTTTACTGCTGTAGCTGTTTAAGGTTGAACTAATTTTAACTGCTTTATGCACCGCTGGGTGGTTTGATTCCCAACAAGGCGTCGTAATCTGTAAGATCATCGTATGTTTGTGGCAGTGCTGTTCTGTGAGAACGAAGTATGTCTAAAAGGTACTCCGCTTTCCAATGATGCATTATCAAAGAACGTTTTAAGAAGTAGGAGAATGTTCTCAACCCATGAAGGAACATTTAGTCTTCAAAATCCCCAAATTTAGAGATATATGGTTTCTAGTGGGCTGGAAGGTGGTTCGGTGGTTAGCACCGTCGCCTCACAGCTAGAAGGTCGCCGGTTCTTCCTGCGTGGAGTCTCCATGTTCTCCCCGTGCAGCGTGGGTTCTCTCTGGGTTCTCCAGCTTCCTCCCACAGTCCAGAAACATGCTGAGGTTAATTGGTGATTGTAAATTGTCCGTAGGTGTGAATGTGAGTGTGCTTGGTTGTCTGTCTCTAAGTGTAGCCCTGTGATAGACTGGTTACCTGTCCAGGTGAACCTGCCTTCACCCTGAGTCAGCTGCTCCAGCCCCCCATGACCCTGGTGAGGATTAAGGTGTAGAGATGATGGATGGATGGGATGGGTATGAAAAATCTGAACAGTAACTTAAGCTGCCAGACAAATGTAGTGGAGCAACATGCACAATATTTGACTCTGTGGAGCAGAAGAAGAAAGTTGCACACGATGGAAACACACAATATGAGTGCAGTGCTTAGTAAATGTGCTTCATTAGGTTCTGCTGCTGCGTCTTGTCTGACAGATTCTTTCCAAATGCACAAATAATACGTTCAATAAAGCCGTCAATAACCAGCATACGCTCGTCTTAACCCGTGGCTTGTATCGACAGTTCAGTCTGCAGCAGGTGAACACTGTCGTTAATCTGACATAACGAGCATCAAATGTAAAAGTTGTTTTAGTCGAACCCGCTTCCATCCAAACACTGTTTTTCATTTTTCATTTTTGGCCACAGGCAGAGAACGCTCAAATCAAATCCTCATCTTCACTTCAACTCGTGAGTTCCAGACTTTTTTAATTTGGTTTTTAATTCTTCCACCAGTGCAGACAAAAAAAGATAAAAAACAAAACAAAACACGCACAACTGTTTTATATCACAGGCCTCTTAATCCTCTGCAGCCTGAACAAGATGAACAGATTCTCTCGAGTCGCAAGACATGTTTGTAGAGAAACGGGTTCCACTTGTTCCAAACTAGAAAAAAGAAGCCCCAAACACAAATCTGAATTACGTATTGATCCGTCTTTGAATCGGTGATGCTTGCACACGAAGAAAACAAATTACAGGAGATAAAAAGTACAGTAGGAGTCAAACATTTAATGGATTTAAAATGAGCAGCGTAGGAATGCGTAATTACAGGCCGCGTTAATAGCTCGCATATTTTAGCGCTCCCTAATTGATTTGCTGCTTTTGTCAACACTCTGCTCTCTCTCTCTCTCTCTCGCTCTGCTTTCATCTCAGGTTTTGGCCGGAAAGACGTGGTGGACCACCTGCTTCAGACGGGCGCTAACGTGCACGCTCGAGACGACGGCGGCCTGATCCCGCTGCACAACGCCTGCTCCTTCGGCCACTCTGAGGTTAGACTAATCCAGTTTGTGTTTGTTTTGTCGTCTTCAGACCGGTGTGGGTGTGACGTGGAGCACGTCGTTACAGCAGGACGGCGCCTGAAACCCACAGAAATGTGTGTTTTCCTCCCGGAGAGTCGACGCTTTGGTAGAATTTAAATGACTTCCAGTGATAAGAAGTTTGGAAGTTATGCAGTCGTGCAAACTGTAACCGGCGTTATCATAAAAGATTATTCTGTCCAGAGGTAGAAATCTGCTCTGTTTGCGTGTAAACTATAATGTGCACAGTCAGCCTGAAAGATGACACTGAAAACACCTGAACATTGCCTCTCCTTCCTGCTGCCTGTATTCTGCTCATGCATAAGCATGCTGCTGTTTTGGATTATCTGTGACAGATGTGCTAATGCTTTTTGTCCTCCTGGCTCTTAACCGCAGTGATCAATCTAACGTGTACAGTTTCAAATGCTTTGGAGGCTTTTAGGGCTTTGTTGGAGAGCACTTTGCAGCTCTGTCAGAAAAGTGGCGCACTAATGCAGCCGTGCGATCGCGGCGATGATTAGCATTTTGATGAGGGCTGCTGTCCAAACTGAAACCAATCGCTCAAACGAAAACCTCTGAAAGCGGTTGTTTGCCTCGCTTTTGTGTTTTTAGGTTGAATGTAGCGGTGCAAGGTGAGGCATTAGGGCCAGTTCATGCTTCCTGATGTAAATTTAATCATCCAGCCGAGCCCGCGAAGGTCCGACTGTCCGCGCTACGAGCACGCCGACTGCAGGTTTGCCGGGAAAAGAAGTGGCGCTTAAAGCTAACGTTTGGTGTGAGGAGAGGGTGTGCGTTTTCCATCATCCACACTTGCATAATTCATAATTTAAAGAGTTGTAATTTAAGTATCCGCCACTGGAGGAGCTTTGATTTGTACATACTTTCCCCCAAACACAGCAGGAGGTCCTAATTTCTCCAGAAATCCTGAGCGATGTCTATGATCTGTCACCAACCTGCTGCTTCTTTCTGGTTCCACCTCTCATCCAAGAGGCTTCTTCAGTCATAACTGTCTCTCAGCTATATATATATATATGTTGTCACCTCCAAATCACACCACTAATGGTCCATTACCAGCACAACGCTCACAAGGTCCAAATGCTTGTGAAGCTGCGAGGTCAGGGATGACTCAAGGTGGTAATGGTGGCCAAACTGCCCAAGGAGGCATCTCAAGGCTGCATTATCAGCATCGTTCCTCCTCGGGTTAGTTTGGCTGTTTAGTCCTCTCTCAAAAGTCCATTTGGCTTCTACACGGAAGACATCATTTTACGTTTTTTATGTTAAATCTTCAGTGAAATGTTTCCCTTTTTAAACCAGGACTCAGGATTATAGAACTATAAATGTAAACCTGCTTTTGCTGACATTGCCTCAAACCCAGAGACGTTGACGAGAATATTTTAATGAATTAAGCATCGTTTCTGTAGAAACAAAAGGACTACAATTACTACAAATAATGGAGTAGAAGTGGTCAACTGGCACAAGTGGAAAAACATCTTGGCCAATAAAGCACTGATGCCGACTGAATAATAAATGCAAATGTTTTTAATCCTGTTTGTAGGTGGTGTCCTTGTTGCTGTGTCAAGGCGCCGACCCGAACGCCAGAGACAACTGGAACTACACGCCGCTACACGAGGCCGCCATCAAGGGCAAGATAGACGTCTGTATAGGTGAGAAAAAAACGCAACAGGGCAAAAACTGCGGGTCAAGAACTGCATAATACGTTTGCATGAGAACGACAGCGTGGTGTGTGTGCGGGTGCTGATTTACAGGAAATCACAGGGTGTCACTTGGAGGTGTTGTGCTGCTGCTGCTGCTGTTGTTTTGTGTTGCAGTCGCTGTGTTGCTGCTTATTTCCAGTCTCCCCACACAGGGGACAAAAGTACATTGATTTCTTTTCTTACCAGGAATTCAAATTACAGTCGAGCGTTGGGTTCCTTCAATCCGACCTTCGTTCGGCTCGGTCTGTCATCACACGCCGCTGTCTTTCTGTCGGCGGCAGAAAGGGAAGCGGCTGGTCAGACCGTCTTCTCTGACAACAAGAGATTCGCCGAACAAAAATAGTCCTCAAGTAGGCTGCGTGCAGACTTTACAAGGAAGAAGAAAACAACATTACTTTTATTTATTGATGCATTGATTTTTATTTCCCTGCCTATTGTGGCGTGTGGGTGGAATCTACCTGCAGTGAAACCGGCAGGCTCCTAACCACAGATACCGTCCCAATATACCGACCGCAGGAAATCCGTGTGATTTAAACTGCTGCGTGCGGAGATTACACATTACCGAGCACAACACTTACAATCAAACGTCCTCGGGTAACGTTTGTCTCGTGTAGTTCTCAGAATCGCTGTGGCTTGAAGGGTGCACACACACACAAAAAAAACACACTTCAAAAAACGCTTTCTATGTGGATTTTACAGTATATGAGCTCCTACCAGCGTAGATTTAATTCAGCAGAACAATAGAGAGGCTGTTAGTGTTGTTACTGATCCCCGAGGAGAATGTGAAGTAGACGAGATTGGCCACAGCATGAAAACAGCCCGAGCTGTAAGTCGCTGGATAATCTTTATGATCTTTACAGAGAAGCGCTGCTCAGGATGAGGAATAAGAACAAATGACTGCAGTGATCGTCAGCGACACCTTGCTCAGAGTGCTGAGAGCGACGAGGAGGAAAAAAAAAAAAAAAGTTGTGCCGGTCTTTTCTGTTTCTACGGTGGCTGCTGCAGAAAGTCCCTGAAACACTGCATAGCAGCAGAGCGGCTTTGTGGCGCTCCACGCTGTCAGGGATGTTGGTCAGCTATTGATTTGTAGATAATTATGAATGAGGCCGAACGAAATTGACGTGAAGAGGTCTTAACTTTAGCTGCTGAATTTGCTCTTCTGGTGTTGACTTTTAGTTTGAACATTAAAACCAGAAATCCAGACATAACTTGAAACCGAGGCACAGCAGAATACAAAATATAGCTCATTAAATAAATATAAGGCTATTTATAGGCTCTTACACTCATTAGGAATGTTGATGGCTCAATAGCTTGACTGCTTGAGGTCAAACTGGGCACTTTTATTGTTTTATTATATATCTCTGGTGATTTATGCGGCGCAGCAGAGCCCTCACTCCGTCCAGGATCATCCTCCGTTATAACACCTGACAGCGTTACATCAGCCGCTGCATGATCCTGTCCATCTCTATGACTGTCTGCTCACCTTGACCACCCCTCGCCTCAGTCACGAACCACTTTGCTTTAGCTGGATGTGCTTCAGCGCTGAACTTCACGTCCCTTCCTGTATCGCAGTCCGGCACATTCAGAGCGACTTGTGTGAATGCACAACTTCGTGTGCTGAGCTGCTGATTTCTCACAGTGGGACTCGAAGCCACCTCATTTATTCTGAATACTTATTTGCATGAAGGAGTGAAGCAGGGCTGCACGGTATCGAGTTATTTTTCTGTGGTATTTTATTGTAATTTGAAAAAATACAAGAATCTTCACCAGATGACTCTAATAACTCTGTTTGGAAGAATCATTCTGAAATGCTTGGGAAGATTTAGCTGTAGTATAACCCAGCCAAAGGCATGCAAAATGGGTTTTTGTTCGTGGCAACAACTGCAAGACAGCACAGAGTTTTTAAAAACAGTTTTAACTGTATTTAAATCAGCAAAAATATCATTATTTCACAGATATATGCTGTAATTTGAGAGAAAAAATATGTGTACTAATTGAAAAAAATGATAAATGTTTAACTGTGGGCTGCAAGGTGGATCAGTGGTTAGCATCGTCGCCTCACAGCTGGAAGGTTGGCGGTTCGCGTCCCGGTGAGGACACCCGGGATCTTTCTGCGTGGAGTCTCCATGTTCTCCTCGTGCAGCGTGGGTTCTCTCCGGGTTCTCCGGCTTCCTCCCACAGTCCAGAAACATGCTGAGGTTAATTGGTGATTGTAAATTGTCCGTAGGTGTTAATGTGAGTGTGCTTGGTTGTCTGTCTCTAAGTGTAGCCCTGTGATAGACTGGTTACCTGTCCAGGTGAACCTGCCTTCACCCTGAGTCAGCTGGGATAGACTCCAGCTCCCCATGACCCTGGTGAGGATGAAGGTGTAGAGATGATGGATGGATGTGAACCGGCGACCTTCTAGCTGTGAGGCGACGATGCTAACCACCGAGCCACCTTGCAGCCCGATTTGTTGAAAACTCAAAGTATAAATAATACCGACAGACTGATCAGTTTTCTAACCTGCTGGTTGAAGCTCCAGCAGCAAATCAGGACCGAGCGTAAAAACACGTTTCTGCACACCTGCCACCTGAATACCTGTAGGTTACCGTGGAAACGCAACCCATAAAATGTGCAATCACGTAACTTCACGCTCTGTGTAGTGGCATTACTAACTTGCAGATCCAAAGGTTTGCAGGTTTAATGTACTTCCTCAGCTGAGCATCGGTTTGGTTCGTGGAGAAAATCATCATCGCCTGAGCATCTGTTGCCATGGTGACCTAGCAGGTTAAAGCAGAGACGCTGAAAACTTTAGGCTCAACGTACGACCCGTCAGCCCTCAGGTCATACGGGGGATGTTGGTTGTGTTCGGGCCGCGCTGTGCAGACTCAAGAAAACGCTTTCAAACAGTCATGATACTGGAAATAAAAATAACAACCGATCGGCCTCCTGCTTCCAGAAGCCTGATGAAGGTTCTGAAGCAGGAGGATGATAAAAAAAAAATGTTATTTGCAACCGTTTCAAAAGAAAAAAAAAAAAACATTTCAGGTCACGTTGCCAAGTTGCGAGATAATTAGAAAATCTGGCACCTTCGCTGCTCCCGTCCTCAGCTAACATGTTTACTGTGCTTCTGCTTTTCTTTCCCTTCTGGCGTAAAGAAAAAAAAACTACAATGCACATTTCCACTCATCATTATTCTCCTGGATGCCGACGTCCTTGACTGCGGTAACGGGCATTAGCGCGTAGCAATGAGAAAGGCTGACAACACACCGGGCTGAATTGATTTTCTTGTAATAATCGAATGAAAGCCCTCCTTTTAAATAATAATAAGAAAATAAATAAATCCATTTTACAAATCACATAACGCAGCTCGAGTAAGTTAGATTCCATTCAGTCATTGTGCGATGGTTTGCTTTGAGCTAGTCAACAGGTGCAGGTGTTGCGTGTTCGCTCCGGAGCTGCTTTTTATTCACATTTAAACTCTCAGAAATCACGTGTTTTTATTTCAAACGCAGCAAAAGGAGTCATCACATCACAGTTTGAACCACAAAAGCCACACCGACCGTCTCAGCTCACAAGCAGGCCGAGGCCCGTAAACAAAAAAACCACGTGACGTCCAGCCGCCCGTTCATTGGCCGGAGCCTCGGCGGCCTGTCAGTCTGCCAGGTTGGAGATTTAGCGGCAGAGCGAGAGTCGAATCAACTGTAAATTCAGCTGCTGGACGCTGCGTCCTCTCCTCTGGCGCTCGGACATCTTGAGTAAGAAATTAATCCGTCATTACCAGACGCGCATCTTTTCAAGGCCCCCGAGAAAATCTCATCAGCAAACTGGGGATAAGAAGATCTTGGAAATCCTGACGCAGACACACAGCTGAGTTTTGGGAACGATGGCCTCCGTGAATGATTTAACCGTCTTAATTCTGCAGATTTTCTGAGACGTACCAGCTCCTTCTGGTTTATTCCTCCTGATATCAGGGATGTTGCCGAGATGGACAGTTTGATATTAATAAAGCCTGCTCTCGTCAGCGGTGTTGGGTTTCTGTAAAGCACCGTGTTTACAGAGTTTTGATAAGTGCTACATGAATAAACTTTATTAATATCTGTCTCCTTACACCGTCAAGCTTTCGCCTCGGCGGTTTGTTTACGTGACTGCAGATCTCAGAAGAATAGGGATTATTGCTCGTATTTGGTGCCGAGTCGTGAGATGCATAAAAAAAAGAAAGAAGCCAGCACGTGGCTTGATGAGTGAAGACAGTGGCGCTGATTAAAACGTCTCTAAAGCTTCCAGTTAAGGCTGCAGCTCATGATCGTTATGATGCTGTTGATTAATTTTGCCTTCGTTTTTTCTGAGAATTAATTTCCTCCGTGAAATGTCAGAAAACATTAAAAAAAAGCCACTTTCACAGAAGTGAAATCTTTAAATTACCTTCTTTTTTTTTTTAAACATCAAAAGCTGTTCAGTTTTAAGTGATGTAAACCAGACACTGCAATTATCACATACGAGAGGCTGGAAGCAGTAAATAATTGGAGCTTTTTTTTTGCTGGATGTGTGGCAGTTTATGATTAATTTAGGTGTTTTCCTGTCACTCATGTTCTGCCAGTTAAGGAGCAGTTGAACGGCTGCATGCTGTGTAAACATCTTGTTATTTGCAGGTGTACCATACGCTCACTTTTTATTTTATTTTCCTGCCGTGAGAGTTCAGATGATGTTGTTCTAAACTGGGTGAAAGCTCTTCCTCTGCAGCTCTGCTTCCTCAGTTTTTTAACTAACGGCGTACAGGAAAAGCAGCAGAATTGATTTTAAGGTTATTTTATTTGTTTTCTGGAGCCACGCACGGCTCGGCTCGGCTCCCGGGTGCATCTCAGAACTCCTCGGCCCCCATTTCTACCTTCGGGCCTTTTGCATTCTCAAAACAGCTGCTTTTGACCGATTCGTGATCGAGGCTGGCGGGTAAAGCGGATCGTGACTTCAGAAAAACCTCCCTTTTTACAATCAGATGCTCCTCCTCCGTTAAAGAAAACGCTCCAGATGCACACGCTTTGAGTGTCGTCTTAATATTTTTGCGCATATTTCTGCTTGTTTGCTCGACTCTGATTGTTTTACACATATATGATTTTAAATGATAATATTTGAGGAGGAGGATTCACGTTACAACAGATGAAATCAATAAATGCCATAACAATTCTTTCTTTCTTACGGACAGGCTTCCAGTGTGAATCGGCTCCTGCAGAACGTTGCACCCATCTGTTGTTTAACTCTTCAGCAGCTCTTTGTCTCTATGACATGATTAGTTGTGTTTTTCATTTTTTAGAGTTAGAATTTTGCAAAAACAAAAACGCCTCAAATGAGACACTCGCTTCAAATTTTGTCCTGAAAGTAAAAAAAAAACAGGATTTTGGTTGTTCAAAGTGGGCGGTTTTACGGGAAAGCTGTGCACGCTGGAGACAAAACTGAACATGATGTTGACGATGAATGAATGAATGAATTAGAAACAGTCCAGACTGGGTTGCAAGATTCATGATGGCGTGTGTGAGATTGTGTTTCTGCGTGGATCAGACTGCCGTTTCAGTATGAGCATATCTTTACCCTCCCGCTGTTGGGTATCAGTATCAGTGTGTGTGTGTGTGTGTGTGTGTGTGTGTGTGTGTGTGTGTGGGATTGGTGCAGAGCTAAATCATATTTTTGTTGAGGGCTGAGTGGATGACTAAGGTCTGCGTCAGTGCCGGGCCAGCAGCGCACACATGCACACACATGTGCGCCTATGGAGCGTCCACAAACATGGGCGGCCCGGTCAGCTCCTCGTCTCCTCCTCCGAGTAGCAGCGGCGGCAGAGTCTGAAGTGCACGAGAGTCGGAGGGCAAGTGCAGCGGGAACTGCTCGGCAGGCACAATAGTGGGAAGTGAGGTGGAGAGAGGCAGCGAGAGGTTTGACATTAGTGCCCTCACAAGAGCTAATTCACAAGAAGAAGAAAAAAAAAGAAAAGAAGTCTGAGCGCAGACAGAGTTTGTTATTCAGCTCATACCTGTTCGGCTGTC